GATGGAAGAAGGGATGGGAAGATGACAGGTGGATGGATGGACAGATGGACAGAGGGTGGATGATAGGAGGATGGAAGAAGGGATGGGACATGACAGGTGGATGGATGGGCAGATGGACAGGTGAGGAGGCTAGATACATTGAAATGAATTCTGGAGGTAGGGCCAGAGATAAGAGCAATGAGGGGTTTTGAGCTTGAATTACTAGGGGGATGGTATCACCAAGTGGGAAGGAGGTGAAAGCTGGGCACAGGGGTGGTATTTACAAGTTGCTGCTATTTAAAGGAGGGAGCACCAAGTGAATCGAAAGGCTGGACACAAGCCCACGGTGCCCCGCACTGAGGGAAATGCTGCTCTCACGCTCATTAAATAAGAAGACTTTAGATAATTTCAGCTGACCACAAGCTCCACTATGCACGCCCTAATCCACTGCTAATCCTGCCTTTGTCCTAAGCTCTGCCTGGCCCTGTCCTGGCCCCATTTGGGCTGCCTGCCCTGCATGGTGCAGCTCTGTTCTCTGCAAAGGGTCGTCTCTGCAGAGCTTCACTGAACCCAAATAGGAAAGGCCTGTGATTTTATTTAATGAAGATGAATGTGGAAATCTAGCATATGTACCAACGCATAGCTAAAAAAAGTGCTTTTGTTCAACTGAAAAGGACAATTTGCAAAGGCTTAGTATTCTTAAAGGTGAGGGGATAGCACAGAACTTGAGACAATAAATATTCCAAAGTTAAGGTAAAAATAAAATACCGAGACCTAATTATATTCAGTGGTGTTTTTGATATAACCTAATTAAATTAATTTAATTTCCCTTGGCAATACCTTTGTGATCTATTATTTCTGATTATTCAAAAATAGGTCACCCAGCATGGTAGCTCAGGCCTTAATCCCTAACCTATGAGAGGCCAGCGTTGGTGGCCTCCAGTTGAGGCCAGGAGTTCGAACAGTCTGGGCAACATAGTGAGACCCCTTCTCTACTAAAAATAGAAAAATCTGGTCATGGTGTGCACGCCAGTATTCCTAGCTACTCAGGAGACCGAGGCAGGAGGATTCCTAGAGCCCACGAGTTTGAGATCACAGTGAGCTTTGATGACGCCACAGCTTTCCTGTCTGGCCAGTAGAGCAGGACTGTTTTATATCATAATAAAATGTTTTAAAAATAGGTGCCTACAAAGCAAATTTTAAAAAATATTCTATACAATGAAAAATACTTATGTTAATGCTTCTATGTCTAATTTTTCTAGTAGGATTTTTATCTTGGTTAACGGCTATTTTTAAAATAGAGACACGTGAAGAATATTACGTGACATACCATTGTTCTTGAATATAGTTCACATTTGTGTTTCTCAGAGGCACACACAGAAAACAGAAATCTTAGATGCATCAGAAGAATAACAGACAGAGGCAAGCAGAGAAAACAACGCCTCCAAATAATTCGATCATCTGTAATTTACTGTCGTCAATATAATTGCGTCAGGATCTCCAATGCTTCGCCCCCAATCTCTCCTGATAGACTCTCCTTAGAAGTCACACATTAAAGCTGAAAAGGAAGGGTTCCTAGTAAATGAAAATGCTTATAGAAAGCTGTTTTACAAACTGCTTGTGGCTGAAGCACAGAAATTGGAAAATGGCAAATTAATTATTAATTAAAATAAACCAACTGCTCCGCTCAGCAATGGCGGGCAGAGGAGTGAGGTGGTGCCCAGCAGCGACCAAGGGTGGGTTTTAGACTCTAATCTCACGTTGACTCCTCCTCGGGCTAATCATAAGATTCAGCATTGCAGCTAAGCATGGGGCAGTCTAGAAAATAAGACGGCCCTCCCATCCTTCCTTGCAGCTAATATTATGGCTTGAACTATGTCCCCCAAATTTATACGCTGAAGCCCTAACCCCACAAGGAGGGGATGTGGAGATGGGGCCTTTGGGAGGTGATCAGATGAGCGCAGGACCCCATGAGGAAAGTGTCCCTGGAGCCAGAGGAATGGTCGGGGCTCATCTCTCCACCTGCACGCACCTGGAAAGGTGGCCACCTGAGGGCACAATAGGGAGCTGCCCCCTCCAGCCAGGTAGAGAGACATGGACCACCTCCTCCTGCCAGGTTCTCACTGTACCATGCCTACGCGCCAACCTCCAGACCATGAGAAATAAATTCCTGCTGTTTCGGCCGCCGGGTCTGCAGCCCTTTATTATGGCAGCTGAGCTGACAGAAGCGCTCAGGATGTCCAGCCATGTGTGTGAAGATGCCGTGATGACAATCACCCCTCCCCCACAGATGCCCTTTCTAGGTTTCAGTCACACAAGGTTTACCAAGGCCCAAAAATACTAAATGAAAATTCCAGAATTAAACAATTCTTCAGCTTTAAATTGCATGTCATTCTGAGTACCTGGTGAAATCTCCAGCCACCCCACTGACCTGCCCAGGGTGTGAACCCTCCCTCTGTCCATCTGTGGCACCTGCTGTTAGTGTCAGGAACCATCAGAGTCAGCAGAGCAATGACTGTCGTGGTGTCATAGCACCTGTGTCCAAGTGGTAAAACACTAGTGAAATGGCCCCAAAACATAAGCGTGGTCATTGGGACACGCCAAAGAGAAGCCAGAAATGCCTCCTGTGAAGGAGAAGATGATAGTCCTCTACTTAATAAGAAAGGAAAACAACGTGTGCTGAGGTCGCTAAGACCGTGTAAGAACAAATGCTCTACCTGTGAAGTGGGGGGGAAGGAAAGGGGATTCATGCTGGTTTTGCTCTTGCACCTCAAGTTGCCAGAGTTACAACCGTGTTCTGACTGATGGGCACTGGGCTCAGCACCGCTGGAGGTTCCAGGGGTCCCTGAGGATGCTGGAGTTCGTCTCCCTGGGATGAAGGACGGCTGTGTGGGGTCTGCTTGGAAGTGGGGTACACAGCTCCTGCCCTTCTTCCTTCTTCTGGTGAAATGCTGATGTGGGGCCCCTGACTAAGACAGGAAGCCCATGTCTAGGTTGTCTGAGAAAGGAGACAGGGGTCGACACCTGAAGCTCACGGGGCCAACATAGCAGCCCTGGGCTGCCACCCAGTGATCGTGTCTCAGACACTGGTGTGTGTGAGCGTACGTACACACCCACCACTCGTAGACAGATGCAGTCCTAACCAACACGTGACTTAAGGCCTGGGCCTGTGGATTCCTGATGAGTCCTCCTCTTGGCCCATGGTCACTGCCCTGGAGCTCGTCTGTGAAGGGGCTCAGGTCTCTGCAGGACAAGGCCTCACTTTGCTCTTAGGTGATGAGATTTCCAGGATGGCAGAGCCACTCAGCAATCCAGTGTGTACATGTGTACATGTGTATGTATGTATGTATGGGTATATACAATGATAGATTATTATTATGAAATTGTTTTATTTATATCATTTTCATATTAATATTTTTATCCTCTATTAACAAAAAAACAAGGTGACAAATGTCTGTGTATTCCAAATGGATTAGATTTCAGAACCAACTAAATTCCAACAAAGAGTCCAGGCAAACTGTGGTTTGCTGTAATTGGCCAAGCTGGTAACTGTGGACTAGGACACGTGTTTACAAAGAAGGAGAAGTCAGAAGCTTAAAATAACTGTGTGTGGGCTCCAGGAACATCCTAAAATTATGAAGCAGTGTGCCAGTCAGATGGGTTTGGGTTGTGTGGAGAAAGCTTTAAATTCCTCCCTGTCGTCCGAGTACTGAGGACTCCCTTTCAGTACAGAAGGATTATAGCTTGTGGGAGGGGCTGATGTTAGCTGAATATCTACTAAATGAACTGAGTAATTCATGCTGGGCCCCTGAACCCCCAAGATAGGCCTTCTTCTTTATAACTTGCCAGAATTTCCCTTTAATTATTAGAAGTTGAACCAGACCAATAGTGATAAGTTAAGTATTTTTCTGATGTCCAAACCCATCCAGAACATTTCTGGGAAAGCACATTTAGCCAATATGTTCCTGTGTGAACAGGGGCTGTGAGTTGACCATGCATGACACAGTTGCTAAGTTCAAGTGAGTCCAGACATTCTGAAATGTGTTTCTTATGGGGCAACCCAGGGCATTCCATAACCCAGCTTGGCCCACGGCCCAGCTACCCACCCTGTGCTCCCGGATGCACCACAGTGCCTGCTGGAGCCCACTGTTACATTTGGGACGATTTTTCAAACTAGTTGTGAATCACAGCCATGATGAAGTAAAGTAGAACTGAACACCTTTCCAACCCCTGCAGCCACAGGAGAAGCAAAATTGAGCCCAGGCGCAGCTGCCGTGCCGACACTGAGAGGCTGCCCTCGATCGATACAGTTAGCACGAGGCATGAAGTCATTAAGAGTCGATTCTGTCCGCTCAGTGATAAACCTGTTGAGAAAAGGGAGTGGGTTGGAAGATGGCTCCATTCGTCAAACCTCAGTGAATGGCACCAGAGGCAAAAGTTTAGCAAAAGTCCCAAATGCATCCGCCTCTGGGGCTTGACTGCCAGGCCGCATGGTCCCACCACTCAGAACTGAGGGCCTCACACCCTCTGTCGGAAGGATGTGCGTCTCCCGTCTACCCCCCCGCTACTTCTGCAGAGCCAGTTGTCAACGCCCCCTGAACTGCCCCTTCCCTCCCCCACCCTCTCTGATCTAAAAATTCATTTCCTGGTATCAGGGCTGGGAGTGGCCCCAGCAATTTTCAGGGATCTTGGGGTGAAGGAGCCATTGTCTTGCCTTGGAAAATTTCCAGAGCAGACAAATGCCTATTCACTTTCCGCAGCACATCAGGAGCCTGGAGGAAGCCTCAAAACACCATGTCCCTGCGGCTGTCATGGTGGGCCCCGTGTGTCCATGGCAGTGCATGTCCCTGCGGCTGTCACGGTGGGTGGGCTCCATGTGTCCATGGCAGTGCGTGTCCCTGTGGCTGTCACGGTGGGTGGGCTCCATGTGTCCACGGCAGTGCGTGTCCCTGTGGCTGTCACGGTGGGCTCCATGTGTCCGTGGCAGTGCGTGTCCCTGCGGCTGTTACGGGGGGACCCATGTGTCCACAGCAGTGCACGTCCCACCGCTCATGGTCCCAGCACCCAGAACACTCTCAGAATCCTCTCTGGACTTGTCTTCAGGGCTGGTCTGTGAGCTGCCTAAATAACCCAGCAACTATTTCTGGATTTTCACAGAAAATTAAATTCCCAGCATTATCTCCCACTCCATCTACCTGCCTGTGAAAGGCAAACCCATTTTCAGAGTTGAACCACTGACCCTGTGGAGGACAGTGGCAGGGAAGGAGGTGGGAGCCATGTGTATCTAAGTCGTAGACACACAGCCAAGACAAGACATTCTGGGGAGATTCCCAAAGGATTCCCCACATGAGTGAGCCAGGCCCTCCCAGAGCGGCGGCCAGGGGCAGTGCTGCTGAGTAACTGAGGGTCATGCTCAGTCCCGCAGCTCCTCAGCCTGAGGTCAGAGAGAGAGGCCCAGAGTCTGGATGCAGGACCAGGGTCAGGGCTCTGCATCGGTGGCCATGGTCTCTGAGCTCAGATGACCACAGCTTTATTATCACACCTCAGGACTTCAGAGAAAACTCCTGTGGCTCTCTGCATGCTGCCCAGCACTATGTCCCATGGGGCTGCAATTCTGATCCCCAACGAGGGCCACTCTGAGGCCAAGACTCTCCTCTGTGGAGCCTGTCTCAGCATGGTGAGAAGGCACGCCGTGACCCGTACTTGAAGGGGTAAACTGAGGCACCGGTGGCATTCCCAGGCTGCTGGGCACAGCCACATGCCCATCTAGTCCTCATGCACCTGCAGGCCAGGCACACCCAGGCCGGTTCAGACAACTGCCACAGTGAATGAGTTGGCTGCCACCTGCCCATGTCCCACTGCTCTGTTCTTGTTTAAGTCCAGACCACACCAGGTCCAGTGGCTCTGCCTTTGTAAACGTGGGCAGAGTGCAATGCTGGCCGTGGAAGGCAGACCCTGACTCTTGGAATCCTCCTCAGCCTTTCTCTTGGAGAAAGGAAAGGACGTGCATGTAGGTCACTGCAGAGAGGGGGGTTGGTGGGGTGGGGGCTGATTCACAGCCCAGTGCATGCACAGCAGCCTCTGAGGAGCTCTGCACACTCCACCAAGACAGCCCTCAGCCGGGCAGGAAGCAGACGGCCTGGGTGAGCACCAGGGAGGTGCAGCTGACAAGGACCGCACAGTCGGCCCAGGTCACCCCTCTTGTGGGGTGGGCAGCCCCCTACATCCTGGGATGTGAGTGGATGGTCCAGACCCCACCAGCCATTCCTGGAGTGAGCCCTTGGGCCTGAGCCCTGACCCACAACCCCACACATACACTCACATGCAGACACACACACCCCACTGCCACACCATACATGGGTCTATATCACTATATCCACCACACACAATCACAAACACACCACATACACCATCACACACACACTGTCACATACACACTGTCACACACACACTGTCACACACACACACTGTCACACACACACTTCTCACACACACACTGTCACACACACTGTCACACACACACTGCCACACATACACACTTCTCACACACACACTGTCTCACACACACACTTCACACACACACACTGTCACACACACACTGTCACACACACACTGTCTCACACACACACTGTCACACACACACTGTCTCACACACACACTTCACACACACACTGTCTCACACACACACTGTCTCACACACACTGTCACACACACACTGTCACACACACACACTGTCCACACACACTGTCACACACACACTGTCTCACACACACACTGTCACACACACACTGTCTCACACACACACTTCACACACACACTGTCACACACACACACTGTCTCACACACACTGTCACACACACACTGTCACACACACACTGTCTCACACACACAGTCTCACACACACACTTCACACACACACTGTCTCACACACACACTGTCACACACACACTGTCTCACACACACACTGTCTCACACACACACGCTCCCTACCTCCAACAGGGCTGTATCCTGACAGCAGTGAGCACACGCTGGCCTGGAATCCCCCCAAGCGACAACCTTTTGTCCTTTGCTATCAGGATGAGGTGCTGCCCAGGAAATGGTACCTGGAGCCCAGTGTCAACGCTCAGGCCCTGGGTCTCTGTGCAGTGTCGTCTCTCCCACTGGGTGCCTGGGGACCACCCAGGTGTCTCTGGGCTCCTGCAGGAAGGACACGGGTGCACCCCTCAGACATACAGTGAGTGGTAGGGCAGGACACTACCACAGGCCACCCGGAGTCCCCCCCATGTCCGCTGTATAGTTGAGCAGGACCCCTCACCTGTGGATGGGGAGATGGGCTTTTGTGGAGTTCCATGTGGTGTCTGGTCAGAACTAATGAAAGAAACGGAAAAGTCAATGATGCCAAACATAAACCCAAAGTGGCCTCGTCAGTGCTGTCCTGGGCTTGTGCTCTCGCCTGGTCAGTGGCCCCATCAGTGCTGTCCTGGACTCGTCCTCTCGCCCAGCCAGTGGCCCTGTCAGTGCTGTCCTGGGCTCGTCCTCTCGCCCGGCCAGTGGCCCCGTCAGTGCTGTCCTGGGCTCGTCCTCTCGCCCGGCCAGTGGCCCCGTCAG